ACCAAGTTCAGAGAGCACCAAGGACCCCACAGTGATACTTATTTAACTGACATCCTTCCTTTCCTCCAAAAGCTTGAGGCATCTTACTTGGGCCCACAGCAAGTCCCTAAAACAGAGGTTTAGCCACTTTTTCAATTACCGAAAGGAAACATTGCAGGATCTCTAGGACAATGAGCGTGGTCTTGCTTCACTTCATTCCATGCTCCCATCTTTTGACCTGTCAGCCAGGCTATCTGTAGACACATGCTGTAAAGAAGTACAGAGATAACCTTAATAAAAGAATGAAAAAGAACCGCGAAGACAAAATAAATTAGGAAGTTTTTTTTAAAAAAAAAAAAACCTCAGTCTGTGAAAAGAAGATGAGAAAGTGACTTAAAATGATCCCATCTTGTTTAGCTTCAGAGGAGGCAGAGGGCAGGCTTTCAAGATGTTGTTATTATACCCTGTCCAACTTTGGCAATTTTATGACTTATGGACTTCAACTCCCAGAATTCTCCAGCCATCTTGGAGGACATGCTGGCTGAGGAATTCTGGGAGTTGAAATCCACAAGTCTTAAAGTTGCCAAGATTGGACACACCTGCCCTACAACAATAATATGTAATTAATCCTTGCAGTATCTTGGTCTACCTTGAGGGACTGATACATGTTTAGTGCTCCTTCAAAAGAGCACTACCCATATTCAGAAATAGCCCAAATGACAGGTTTGGAAAAGGAGTCACAAGGAACATTGGGAGAGATCCTTATGTTTGCCCCCATGTCTCACATCCACCCCGTATGTTTCCATTCAGGCTTATAACAGGGAAAAGAGCATGGGATAAATGCTTGGAAAACCAGTGGGTTATCTTTAGAGTTGAGTTAGACTCAAAGACCTCCAAGTTCCTTTCAACTCTATTATTCTCTATTTTGCTGCTACTGTGAATGTGTTGGTATTGAGGAGGTACTATTGAATGTTTCTCAATGTTGGCAATTTGAATATGTGAGAATTTTAACTCCCAGAATTCCCTGGTCATGTATCTTAAATTTGCCAAGGTTAAGAAAAATTGATTTAGACACCGAATTTTGGATTATTTATTTATTTATGAGACTTATATACCGCTTTAAGTACAAGCACTCTCTAAGCGGTGTACACCAGTAAGCAATGTATATATATATATATATATATTTACATTGCCCCCAACAATCTGGGTCCTCATTTTACCTACCCCGGAAGGATGGAAGGCTGAGTCAACCTTGAGCCGGTGAGATTTGAACTGCTGACCTGCTGAACACAGTCAGCTAAAATGGCCTGCAGTACTGCACTCTAACTGCTGCGCCACCTCGGCTCATAATACTGTGCTATATTAGCTTGTTTTCTTCCCTGAGTTCTATTTTTCTACTTTATTGTCAGAATGGTTGATTATTTCTTTTGTCTTTCATTCAGTGGTTCTTTTGAATGTACTTTACTGTTGGAAATAGCAGATAGTGCTGATTTTTGAAGACATCTGTTCATTCCTCTAAAGCAGTATTTCTTAGCCTTAGAAACAATAAAATATATGGACTTTAAATTCCAGAATTTCCTTCTTGGGTGATTTTTATGCATATGTTTCAGAGTATGATGACTGAGGAATTCTGGGAGTTGAACTCTACACATGTGAAAGTTCCAGAGGTTGAGAAAATTGGCAATTTCCAATCAGCAAAATCTCCATGGGAGTTTTCCTTGGAATTTAATTGGAGCCAATGAGGTTGGACATTGCTGGAGAGACTTAATGAAGGCAGGACAGACTTCTGGGTTAAATTAGTACAAGAACTCAACTCCTGATAATTTCATCAAGTTTTTATGAAACAGTTTCCAAAGCATGTTCCCTGGATCTTTATAAGAAATGTCTATGCAAATTGTCATGTGGCTATTAAATGACTTTTTGAACTTTAGGCACAGAGCAGCAGAAAGAATGACTGAATCAGCAGGAAATCTAGAAGGCTTTCTTCATCTCTTCCTCTTATTAAAGGGAGGAGAAATTGGACAATTTTCTTACTCAGAGTAAAGGTGCAAGGGAGAGATTGGGGAATTAAAGGTATCCCTATGTCAACCAATGGCATCAAGCGCAGGCATTCCAGAAGGGGTAGAGTAACTGTCAGCATCCAGTCACCTGGCATCCTATCCACTTTCTTGATGGCCAGCATGTTTGGCCTGAGTGCACAGGGACAAAAAAAGATCAGGTCATCTCAGTTTGAACTCACCAAACTCTGCAGTCAGCAGTCACAAGGTTGCTGCTGATTAAATATGAATGCACAGCACAGCAAGTCATTGACCCCCCACTGTCCATTGGTACAGGAAAGGATTCACAAGCCAGCTGAAAAACATGGAATCTGACCATGCCAACTTACTGGTGTTTGCTTCTGGGTAGCACAGAAGGCTCAAGGCTGCATCAATGTTGTTTGCCGTAGTTGAATCAACAGCAAATTCCAGTTGAATGGCAGTGAAATTTCTTGAAATGAATCAGGCCATGCGTGAAAATCACCCAAGAAGCTGAATGGAAAGCTCAAATTTTTAATTAAATGAGGAGCCTCAGCTTGATGATAGGATTTCTGCTTATGCTGTATTGAATCTGTTTTGGATGCGTCCATAGAGAAATGCATGAATGTTCTTGTGCATTTAAGACCCTGATTTGACTGCTGGTTTCCCCCCCAAAAGTCTTCTGCTTAGACATGAAAACAATGAAAAATAATAAAGAGGTATTAGCCTATTCAGAAAACTAGAAAGGAAGGAAGGTCCCTTGTTTCTCCCTCTAAAAGTCAACAAAGAAGGAGTGGATATGTTCAACAGCCACTTGTCCCATGGGTATCTACAGTGCTGTGGTCAAAAAATTCAAGAAGGCCACTATCACATATGGCCAGAACTCTGCCTACATTTTATGTGCATCATACCACTATGGTTGCCATTTTGACTTTTCTTTAAAGAGTATACCACATGGATACTGCTAGATTGTTCTTTATCTGTGGGATCATAGTGGTGAAATAAAACATTCGGAAAAGGAGTCAGCTAGTTGGATAACCAAAATCCTGAACAGGCGTATTGCAATTTTTAGGATTTTATTGCAGATCTTATTATTATTGTGGAAGATCTCCCTCCCTCCCTCTCTCTCCCTCCATCCCTCCCTCTCTCCCTCTCTCTCTCATCTACTATATATATATATATCCTATACTGATGAGTTACCTATCTGCATTTGTTTCTGTAATAGATATGTAAGTAAGCTAGTTCTAATCAATGTATTTTCATTTCTAACCATAAGTGTAATTTTCTAGAGAATCCTATTTTGTTTTTATTTTGAAAGCTTCATGTTACCATAGAGCAGGGGTAGGCAACCCAAAACACTCAAAGAGCCACTTGAACCCGTTTCCCACCAAAAACAAAATACCGGGAGCCGCAAAACCCTTTTGATATCTAAAATGAAGATAACACTGCATATATCCTTTTTTATCTTTATTATAGGTGTGTGTGTGTGTGTGTGTGTGTGTGTGTGAGAGAGAGAGAGAGAGAGAGAGAGAGAGTGTTTGTGTATGTGTGTGTATATATACACACACACACACATTAAAAATAAAAGTAAAAATATGACTTTTGGGAATATCCATACTATTAAAACAATGATCACCGAAAGAATGCTTTAAGAGAATAAAATTACATACACACATAGGTAAAAAAAGGATATATGCAGTGTTATCTTCATTTTAGATGTCAAAAGGGTCTCTCTCTCTCTGTCTCTCTCCCTCCCTCCCTCTCTGCCCTTGGTCTGCCACTCCTCTTCCCCCACTCTCTTTCTTTCTCTCTCTTTCCTCTCTCTCTCCCCCTCCCTCTCTCTCTCTCTTTCTCTCTCTCTCTTTCTCCCCCCCCCATCTGCTGCTCACCTGGCAAGCTTCAAGTTGTTCTCCAACAATCTCAGGGGTAGGCAACCTCGTCTCTTTTATGACTCATGGACTTCAACTCCCAGAATTCCTGAGTCAGCCTAGCTGGGCTAGCTAGCTCTCTCCTGCCCTTCCTGCTTCCTGCAGAGACGCAGCACAGGGAGGAGCTCCGCCTAGAAAGCTTTTCAGCTCCTCGGAGAACAATGTGAGTGCACTCTCTTTTACACATACACACACACACACACACACAGAGAGAGAGAGAGAGAGAGAGAGAGAGAGAGAGAGAGAGAGAGAGAGAGAGAAGCAGGGAAGCGCAATTGCCTCTCTCTGTCTCTGTCTCTCTCTGCAAAGGCAGAGGAGGCTGGGAGCCACAGGGGAAGGCTCAAAGAGCCGCATGCGGCTCCGGAGCCGCAGGTTGCCGACCTGTGCTATAGAGGGACAATAAAACAATCATACCATTACAGTATGACTAATATGAATGACAGTGATGAAAGGAATTCTAGTATGAACACAAATTTTGGACACTCTGACATATTGCTAGTCACAACACACACACACACACACACACACAATTTTACTGCAATTCCTCCTTGCACTGCTCTCACAGCTTGAGCTACCCTGATAGGTTTAAGGCAATGCTGCAAAAATATCCGATCAATTGGGAGCCACCATTCCATCAAACAAGCGCACCATCTCAGGATCACTAGGAATCGGGCAGTGTGGCAGAAGATCAGAAAAGAAGCAGGTTTTTCTCAGGTTGCTCAGGCAGGACTGTTCCTACCTCCCACCTCTCAAACCATAGCAGACAGCACAGGGAGTATTTCACCATGTGTGGGAGACTTTATGTGTATATGTGTGTATGTAAAATATATGTGTGCGTTTTACTGTGTATATATGAATACATACAAAACACCTCTGCCCATATAAAATACAGATTCACAGCAAACATGAAATAGAAGTAATCCATGGTAAAAGCTGATTTTGATTCCTGGTGATTTCTTGTATACATAAGTTCTTGTGCATTGTCTTGACAACAATATGAAAACTGCACTATGGCCTTTCCCCCCCCCCCAAGTAAGATTCTTTTCTTTTTCAATTCCCAGCCTAGAGAGCACCTGAAGATGGCTTGGTGGTGTCCTATAGAAGTACTGACTCTGCACAGCTTTTTGAAATCAGTCAAAGTTGGCTGAGTGCTGCAAATGTGGGTTATTAAACTCATATGTCAGCTTTCCCCAGCCTAAATTTTTTTCAGATGAATTAGGGATACTGATCCCAGACTTTCTATCCACTTAATAAGAGCCAAAATGAGCCTATGTCACAGTTTTGCTACTCCTCCCATTTGACTTCAGAGTCATTATACTCTTATGTCACTCATTCCACCCCAGATCCTTGGGGGGGGGGTTTGAAAAGAAAGCCATAGAAAATTTGCACGTAGGCACATATTTTAATGCATTTTTGCACCCAATGACCATTTCTCAATGTTTTCTTACAGAAGACATACGTAAGTCTTCCAATCTCCATCAAGAAGAAATAATTTTGATTTGAGAACCACACTATTTGGGAAGGGGAAAAAGGCAAGTATGAGCAGAGAAAGATGGAAAGTGCAAAGAATGTTGGTTCTCTTTGAAATGCAGACAATATGAAATGCCTACATCTTAACCTTACATGTAACATGCTTTGATTTTCTGGGATTTAACACTTTATAGTCACAACCTGGACAATGCTTTATTTTCCATTGTTTAACCTCTGTTTTTTTTTAGGACCCTGAAATCCCTTGCTTTGGGGTGCAGTCAGGGTGGCTGAATGGAGCTGAGCGTTTGCTGGCCAGATGTCCTTTCTGACACCTACATAGGGTTCACAGCAGATATTTTCTTTTTGCACCCTGATAGAGAAACATCTGTCACTGCCTAGGATTGAACTCTCAACCTTCCAACTACGAGGTGAGCGTTTTCACTTCTAGGCCATTGTTTAACCTCTGTAACTCTCTAATATTGTCCTGTGGCTATTATTTATTGTTATTATTTATTTATTAGATTTTTATCTCACCTTTATTCCTTTATAAGTAACTCAAGATGACGAACATACTCTTTCCTCCTCCTATTTTCTTCAAAACAACAATCTGTGAGGTGAGTTGGGCTGGAAGTGAATGACTGGTCCATAATCATGCCCAGCTGGCTTTCATGCCTGAATCAGGATTAGAACTCCGAGCCTCCTGGCTTCAAAACCAGCACCTTTACAAATTGGCTCTCTCTTAATTGCTGTTTTAACGTTTTAAATATAGTGATTCTTTTGATTTCATTGTTTTGTCATGGATTACAAACCATCTTGAGAGCTTTAGGATAATGGATGCAGGCTATAAGTATTTTAATAGATAATTCAACACTGTAAAAGCCCCATAAGGAATGAATAGCACCTCCTTCCACTGCTTATTAGCCTGCAAAAGATACCAATAATATCCAAATTCAGTAGGACAGTTCCTATTAACCATAGTTCCAACTGGAAAAATATGACCATCCTAGATCAAGCCAAGTCCAAAAATGCTATGGAATTTCTAGAAGCCCAGCACCCTGACAAATTAGCCATCAACAGACACATAGACATCAACAACATCTATAGATTATGGAAAAGAGACAATCGACCAGCCCAAAAGAGAGGGGGAAAAAAAGACATAAGCATCTCTCTACCTGCCATCAGCACCCAGATCAGCATAGATTAACTCTAATGTTAATTTCAGACCAACAATCAAGTAAACAATACCCCAAACAAGAAACTGCCCAAGAAGCCACCAGCACATAGCCCAACGAAAGAATCTCAAAGAATCACCCCGACCAACACTGACAGTCAAGCCACTCTAATATAAACTGAGAGCAAATCCTACTCCATATACGCACTGATGATATGACCTAGTTTGGGTAATGAAATATCTGCAAGAAAACAACCAAGCAACAAGGAATCCTCATTTCAACTCTGAGCTACAAATATTCTCCTTTATTAGTTCCTATTAAGTTTCATGATGTTCAGAGTTTGTTATCTTCCTCCTCCTCGTCATCATTCTGCTCCCCCTCCAGTTCACAGCACTATTGCTGAACAAACCATTTTTAATCTATGGAGGGTTCCCCCCCTCCACTCATTTTGCTGGATATAATGTGCCTTAAGATGCTTACTCTGACATGTTGCTGTAATGACCCTGCCCTAAGGTTCCCTTTTTCTCCTGGTTTTGCTTTTCTCTGCATGCAGAGCCCAGACTAAGTGACTCTAATTCCCCAGAATTGCAACTGAGTGTCTCTGGTCTTATGAAACCAGGTGACTATGCTGAGTGCTACAGGAATATTCTAAGTATTATATCCCAGTATCAAAGCATAACAGAAGCTCCACCGATTACATCACTGGCCTTCTATCTTTATTTCTAAATTATTATTTTAAGGATATGTTTCACAATAATACAATGAAGTAAGTCATTAATAGCCTAGCAATGTAATTTGCCTGGCATGTACGATTGCCTCATTATTTATATTGCTAATTATAAATAGGGACAATCTGACATAATCTCCTGAGAATTAACACAGAAGAACACACCCTATGCTAAATTTCAAGGAGCAACAACCCTGCAGTGCAACACACACACACACACACATACACACACATGTGTATGTGTACACAATGCATGAATGCACACATACACGCACTTCACACCATATGCTTGTATTTTCATCAGAACCCTGCAGTGCAACACACACACACACTATGTGTATGTGTACACAATGCATGCATGCACACACACATTCACACACACTCTCTTCACACCATATGCTTGTATTTTCATCAGAACCTGACAGATTAAGATCTAGAAAGATTGCACAACGGAGGCTGTCTTGCCACTAGAGAGCTGTCTAATGCAATTGAACTTAAATTTTATTGCTGAGCTGTAGAATCCATGAATGCACATAGTGCACACTGTACAACTCTCTGAATCTGCACTGTTGCAGAATGAGAGTAGGGGTTGCACAATGACTGCATCCCTTTGCCAAAGAAAGGTCTCTCAAAAATAGTTCGGCAACGAGAGGATTTCGCTTTTTTATTTTATTCTCTTCAAGTTACAGATGTAGGCAAGCTTGCATACAGTATACACACACACACACACACACACACACACACACACACACACTCATTGAGTAATGCTCTTTCCCCTTCATTTGGAAATAATACTATCCTAGGAGCACAGCAATATCTAATTCACATGTTTCCCTGAATGTGCTTACCATAGGATGGCACTACAGACTAGCCGTTCCAGGCCTGGCGCCATTTCATTCCATAACCCCCAACGATTATCAGTGTCTGAAACAAAAAAGAACCAGCACATCTAAGTGAATGAAGTTTTTCCACAGGTTTTTTTTTCAAATAGTCTAGATTAGAAAGTAAGTTTCTAAGCCTGGAAACAACAATCTTCAAATTTTCAAAATGTCTCTAAGCATGTTGTTAAAAATTTGAACAGTTGTCTGTAATTTATTATTATTATGGTTCATTGCACAGACTGGGTCTGGTATTTTTGTCCACCTATCGAGTCCTTTCCAAGGACCTGGGATAGGCAGATCCGGATATTTGATTGTGTTACAGATATCATTACAGAATATAAGTTGTTCTGAGTAAAGCTGCCTTTTGCAATTGACTGATGGCAAATTTGTCAATTCCGATGGTGTTTAAGTGGTGCTCCAGTTGTTTTGGGATTGTACTCAGGGCCTCTATTACTATTGGTACTACCTTTACTTGCTTTTGCCACAGTCATTCTATTTTTATTTGATCTTTGTATTTTGATCTTTTATTAGGTCTTTGTATTTTGATATCTTCTTCAGTTCTTTCTCTTCTATTCTGCTGTCTCTAGGTACTGCCAATCCACTATCCAGACTTTTTTGTCTTTCTTATCGGCAATTGTTAAGTCTGGGGTGTTATGTGGCAAGTGCCTATCTGTTTTATTATTGTTATTCTTATTAATTTCCTGAATCAGCTTTGCAACCACATTTCCATTGTTTGTGTAATTTATTCATTTCCACCTACTTTAAGCATTTGTTTTGTTTCTCCTGTTTGAAACAATCTTTGTTCATGGTATTAAGGCAAATTCTCAACAAAATTGACAGTTTTGAGAACAATTTTCATTTCAATGGATTTTTAGTACAGCTGCTGAGTATTAAGTAACATATAAATTTAATATATTATAATTACTATTGTTATAATTATAAATATGTGTTTCAGGCATACACCTTTTATTATATGAAAATGAATTTCTCAGGAAATATTTTTCTATACAACCTTCTCATTTTAAGTGATAATCAAGTGTTACCAATAGTTTGATATCTTTAAACCTTAAGGGACATGTTTATAAATGTACCTGCTTGAAGGCACAAGCTAGTTTAGTATTGGGTATTCTTAATTTATATGACTCAGTTGTAATCTGATTTGGGTGTGCCCATCAGATATTTATGAAATGCTGCTAATTGAAGACACACAATCCTAAACTCATAATGTCAGGGAAGCTTCATAATTCCCTGGCAAAGGTCTGTGCAAAGAATCCAGATGAAAATTACTGCAAATTGCAGTTACACAATCAATTTTCCAATTACCCATTTCCCTTAAATTTTGAAAGAATCCCAAACATGTACAGAATGGATGAGTCAAACAGCTTCTGTCATTGTTTCTTTTCTCATAATAACTGCAGTTGGGTAAAATATTACAACTTTATTTAATCACTAAAATCTACCATAAGTATAAAGATCTGCAAAGTCAATTTGGTGTAAAGTTTAAAGCAGAGTTTCTCAACCTTTCCGGCTTGGCGGTCTGGAAGGAAAGGGAACAACAGGGAAATGTAGCGCCAGTGTGTGTGCGCATGCGCAAGTGGGCCACATGTGCCCATGGCGCATGTATTGCCGCCTTAGCACATGCGCAAATGGGCTGCAAGTGTGATGCTGGCGGCGGTTCTAGCGTTTCCATACATATGTAAATGGGGTCGTTATGCCCACACAGCAGTGCTACTGTGAGTGGGGCGGGGTTTGCCAGCTATTCCCAGGGCCCGATAGCCAACAGGCTGCGGCCCAGTACTGGGCTGCAGACCATAAATTGCGGACCCCTGGTTTAAAGTGTCAGCCTAGAATTGGAGAGACTCAGGGTTCAAATCTTTCCCCATTCGTGAAATCTTTCTGGATGACTTTGAGCTGGTCATGTTCTCTTTAGCCAAACCTATCCTATAGGGGTAATGATGTGGAAATAAAACTGAATTAAATAATACTGTACCCAGAAGAAACACAGGATATACATTTAATAAACATATAACTTAAAAAAAGGATGCATGCAGACCATTAGAATCAGATCTTGCTATGGGCTAAGATGGAGTGATCTTATTTTCATTCTGATCTACAGAGGGACTTCTCAGCCAACCTGCACTTCCATACTTCATCACTTCAGATGGATGATGGAGATTCTTTGGCTACAATCTTCTCAATCACAGCGATCAGTGTTTCCATGTTCTACAAGAGATCTACAAGCAAACTTTTCTCCATCTTCTGGAGACAATAGGCAATGAGAGAACCGTAGAATACAGCTTCACCCTTCATTCTAGGGTCTTCAAGATTTCCAGGGTGTCTGCTGCTGGTAAATTAGGCCATTGCTTCCCTGGTTGTCTGTGTTTAAACTATCTTTAAACCCCCCCCCCCCCCAAAAAAAAAAACTAGACTGACAAATAATGAGACCACTTGTTTCAAATCATGTGGTTTGTTTTGTTCTATTTGGATTGGATTGGTGTTTTTTCACTGTGCTAGTCAATTAGCCTAAGGACATTAGTCCCAGGCTATGTGACGTAGATAAATAACTGTAAAAATAAGAAAGATGTTATGACAGCAGCAAGCAAACAAATCAAAAGGGTCAGGTCACTTTTGAGGCACAGTTTTAGAATTTTTAGAACTAGCTTTTTTTCATATGAAAATTGAAGTTGAACAAAAGAAAACGGTTGATATTTTGGATATTTTTCACATTATTTAATTATTAGCAGATATTACAGCTAGATTGGTCATTGCAACTCATGCTCTATTTGTTTTGTTAAAGTAGTGCAGGGGAAGCTATTCATTTCTCATGGTGCCTCTCAGATTTATTGCCCACTCCTCTCCCTTTATTTTTTTTTGTTTAATCCTTTTAATTAAAAAATAAGGAAATGTGAAGCTGGCATACTGCAAAATGTGACATCTGCCTCCAGCATCCTCTTTATTTACAACAATGTTTTGTTTGAAAGTTGGTTCCTTTCCAGGTTTAAGGAATTGTCCCATTTAAGATCTCACTGGCAACTGATTTAATACAGAATTAAATGGAGCATTAGAACCTTAGAACCTCCAGATCTATTGAATTATAACCTCTATTTGCTCAAAATTGCATTCCACAAGATCTAGAAAGTGCCAAATAGGGAACAACTGAGCTAAGTTTAGAATCAAAGAAGTACCACTGAAGTTGCATGCAGTTGAGAACAACAACGATGAGGAAGAGGAACAGGGAAAAGCCCAAATACCTTCCCACAAGCCACTTGAATAACTTGTCTTGCAGCCTCAAGTGTTTGTTGTTTCCATCTGAGTCCACCCTTGGCACACATAAAACAACCTTTACTTGGGCTCACCACTAATAACAAGGGGAATGGAACTTTATGGAGGAGAGACAATACATTAGTAAAACCTAGCAACAGGCAAGGCTATATATTCAACCCTATATATATAACTCCAAACACAACAGCCATAGATATGCTATGTGTCTCTGAGCTATAGCTAGTTAAAAAAAAAATCTATGTAGAACTTGTATAAAGATCCACAACATGTAATAAATCTATCCTTAAAATAATCATTTAATTTGTTAAAAATGCAAGTATATATGGTTGAAGGGTGCTCTGCTATGGAGTAAGCTGAAAAGTTTGCATCTATTCTCTTTTCTTAACTTCTGTTTTACCCCTTATTTATTTACTCAATTTTATATACTGCTCCAATCAAAAGACTCTGAGCATCTTATCATCTATATAGTAATCAGATTCATAATATACAAATAATAAGGGTAGCCCTTATTCTTGATATCCTGCTTCAAATGACAGTGGAAGATCTCACATATCTCAGTATTCAAGACAAGCTCAGTTCCTACGTAGTTCTTTGGCTCTGTGTTGTTTTCTTGTCAACAAGTGGCTGGCTATTGTTCAGTCCTTCTGAATCTTTTCCAGCTTCCATTCCAAATCACAGGCCTGGATTTGGTTTTCTAAGATCAGCTACATTTGGTTTTTTAAGATCAGCTACATTCAGTTAAGGGAGTTCATCTGAAGCATGGTTCTATATATATGAAGAGGTCTATGTAGTTTTCTTCGAAAAAGTTGGGAACTGGTCTGCTATTGGGCCTTTTCCAGAATGTTGGTTTTTTTAAAAAAACAAACAAACAAAAAAAAAACAGCTACGGTCTTCAAATTTCCTAATCAGGGGTCAATAGTACTTGAACCCAATTATTACTTTTAGAGGTTTGACATCAACTAAGTTCAGAGAGGTCTTGCCATAATCTAGAATGGTATGTAGAATGGCCTGGTGCATAGGAAGGATCAGCTTCCTCTATCTTTTATAGAAATGGGAATTTTAGTAGTTGTTGTTTACACAAGAAATGGATACCTGTCCTCTTTGGAATTCAGTCATCTTACTCAAGTATGGCTGGTATGACCAAGTATAATTCCCAAGCTGTTTCTGATATGTTCTTCATTTATAATCAAAAACTCTAAAATAGAAGAATAGGACTCTTGAACTTATCCTATTAATTCTTTACCACATTCTCCTTTTCTAGCAGTATGGAAAAGTCTACCAAATGTCTTATAATTTCATCTAGCTTCCATTTCTTGGATACAATAAACGTTTAACATAGCTAAAAAAGTGTAAAATCTGTTGAGTTTCAAGGGAAATTATCTGTATATAGCAATTTAGGAGCAGGTAATGTACAAGTGAGTGTACAAAGTGGTAGTGAGTAGGAGAAATTTCAGGGGTTTCTATGAAACAGTGGCAAAAAATCATTATTGTGTTTTTTGCAGATCAATACCTCCAAGGGAATCTTATTCTTTGGATGCCAATACTAATTTGGTTGGCCTGTATAAGTCAAGAAAAGGAGAAATAAGAAAAGAGATGATGTGAAGAAACCCAGAATGTTTAATATGACAGTAAGAGGTTGCAATGTATGGCTGTGAAAGTTGGACCATAAGAAAGGCTGACCGCCAAAGACTTGAGGCCTTTGAACTATGGTGCTGGAGAAGACTCCTGTAAGTCCCTTGGACTGCAAGGCGTTCAAACCGGTCAGTCCTAGAAGAGATCAACTCCGACTGCTCTTTAGAAGGCCAGATCCTGAAGTTGAAACTCAAATACTTTGGCCACCTAATGAGAAGGAAGGACTCACTGGAGAAGGGCCTAATGCTGGGAAAGATTGAGGGCAATAGAAGAAGGGGACGACAGAGAATGAGATGGCTGGATGAGTCACTGAAGCAGTAGGTGTGAACTTAAATGGACTCCAGAAGTTAGTGGAGGACAGGAAGACCTGGAGGAACGTTGTCCATGGGGTCGCGATGGGTCGGACACAACTTCGCAATTAACAACAACAAAGAGGTTCTGCTAGGTTTTAAAGGCCTCTCCCTCCTTCTCTGAGTTTTGCAAATGCCCTTTTATTTGCCTTTTTCTATGAGCACATCTGGACCATCTCCAGGGAGAAAAGATGAAGCTTCTTACTGTTTCTTACCGTTTTGTTGTCTGGATTGAGAAGATGAAATGAAAGCAATCACAGCTGCAGCACAGCCAGAAGACAGCAGGTGTTGCATGGTGATTGCATGAAATGGTGCTATCTCTGAATATGATGGCTTCATTTTTCAATATATCTTGCTGCTGACTATAATGGCCTGTCAGGCTAATTTCTTTTAAACCTTGATATATCAACGTATGATCTTCATCTGCACCCAAAGAGGACATCAGAATGGTTAATAGAACATATAAATAACAGAATAATAACATAATAACTGAATTGGAAGGGACCTTGGACGATTTCTAGTCCAACCCCCAGCTTAACCAGGAAACCCTATACCATTTCAGACAAATGGTTGTCCAATCGTTCCTTAAAAACCTTCAGAATTGTAACACCTACAACTTCTGGAGACAAGTCATTCCACTGATTACTGTAATTGTTCTAATTGTCAAGAAATTTCTTAATTCTAGGTTGGTTCTCTTTTCTGAGCATATAAAAAACTCTGAAGTGTAACAAAACATACATCAAAACATGATTTAGTAGCGCATTGTGGGTGGAGACTATGCTGGCTGAAAATCAGCTGAAGTCCTAACCTGAGGTCAACCTGAGAGGATTGAAATTACTTAATAAGATATCTGAATGATGTTATGAATTCTCTCCTGGTTTCTGCTCTGGTTCATAAAGTTATGGCTGAATTTCTTGAGCTGCCTGTCATCTAAGCTTTTATGATATATAAAATTACAGCTACAATTATCAAAACAGCAACACAAGCAGCACCAGAAACAAATTAATCACAAAAGATGTTTTGCCATTTTTCACCTCTTCAAAAACTTTTCTAACTGTTTGAAAATTGCTGATTAATATTGTCCTGCTCAGGAGAAGCCCAAATACATCTCCTCCTGGCTATAGAGGTGGAAAATTGGTATAAAGGATTGAACTCTCTCATGGCAGCTGCTAGACTGTAGGATTCACTATTGAAAAAACATAGCTGGATTTAATTTATTTTGAAAAATGAAATTAACACAAAACTCTTAATCGGAGAAGATGTAGCCAAACCAAAAGCAAAAACAATCAAAGAGTAGGGAAGAAGCAAGAAAGAAAAAAAAATAGATTACAGATTAGATCAGATCAGATCAGATCAAATACTTTACATTTTAAGACTGTCCTAAAATGGCCTTGGGGACTAAATATAGAAGCAGTGTTAGATATTACTGGTGTTGCATAATAGAATTTACTCACCAATGGCTGCTCTCCATAGCTCTGAGTACAGAAAGAATACAGATCAGTCCCTTCCCTGTTACAATGCACAGGAAGTAGAAACAAAGCAACAGCCATTTTTATTTCTACATGGTCAGAGATAAAATTGGGTTGCAACACTTATTTTGGTAGGTGTCCAACCTTCGGTTTATTAAAAAGAATGATACAAAAAAGGAAAGAAAGGAAGGAGAAAAAAGGATAAAGATAAAGAAAAAAGGAAAGAACTGAAACATATTATGTCACATATAGAAAATCATTCAGCCTAAGTTATAAGCACATCATTAAACCTGACCAGAAAGAGTAATATTGATCAGTCTTTTCATTCCATCAACAGATACCCAATTCATAAGTAGAAAGAAAATACATATCTATGATCCTGGATTGTAAATCTTGTGCCAAACTAGCTTCCCAGCATTAGAAAGTAAAAAACAAATCCATAATTCTTCATATAGTCAAAAGTTCAATAGATAATATAATAAAGCTATGACTAAAAATTGAGCCAAGGTTCTGTCATAATGTTATAAAAGCCACATGATAACTTTCTAATTTGTCTTCAGTGTATTTTTTTAACCAGAGTACTTGTATTTCACTGAGAAATAGAACATATATGACAATAAATGTAACATGTAAATGTAAAAATTAAAAACCTATCATAATATGATAGCTGTTATTTTGATAAAAAAATACAAGGGGTATGTGTGCTCTTTTTAGAATATTGTACAGTCTGCTTAAAATAATACATTTTTTTTCTTCCTAGCATTTTTTCCCACAAGTGCAGATTCTGCTCTTTTTTCTAGTTCAATCGAATGTTGATTGGCTGTGATAGGAATGGATGTCACTTGAGCCTGATTTCATCAGCTGAGAGAGAGTGACTGGCCCAAAGTCACCCAGCCAGCTTTCATCCTTAAGTCAGGACTCACAGCCTCCAGAGTTCTAGCTTGGTGCCTTAACAAACTACTTCTGAATAAATCCATTTTAAAGTAATATTCATTTTTACATTTCCCTTCCCTTATAAGCACAAAAAACCCAGGGTCAATCTTATTAGAGATTTGATATATTAACATTTGAAAATGATATTTTAAATATTTTTTCTAAATATTTAAAAACAACATTTAATGTTCCAATTATTATAAATTTTCATTGAAACATTAGAGCCTATTGAATGTAAATGAGAGTCCAATTAACCCAATGACCTGATAAATTACTAAACTGTTGCACACTGTCCATAATTCTTGGTACAAAAAATATGTAATTATCAATAAAGCAGAGCATTGTCATATAAAATCTGTTTGTTCAACTCTTGTGTGAAAATATCATCTGTTTATCTAAATCAAGAAAAGTAGTGTTTCAAATTAAAAATAAGGGATGTAAAGGAGATCCATGATGAGTTTCATAGAGAGTTTGACAGAGGAAGAGACAATTCCATCTGTAATAACTTGACCAAAGGTTAGAAAGTGATATATTAATCCAATTAATAAAATGGGGAAATTCATATTTAGGAAAAATTCATTTCAAAAATTTCCTCTGTTATGTATCAGAGTTCTTTTCCTTACCACTTTGCTGATTTCATTTTCCTGAAGGTATACACAGAATAACTATTAATAATTGCATATTATCAGATGCTCAATGTCCTTTTGTTAAAAACATATTGGCAGGATAATAATACAAAATAATATAATCTGTAATCTATGTACCCAGTATCCATTTTTTGTATCACTATTTAATAAGTAAATTTGACAATTGCTTACCAAGTCAGCAGAAACTTGACTAGTCCTCAGAAAGTAATATAAGGCTTTCAGAAGGAAGTTGGAACAGGATAGATAGATAGATAGATAGATAGATAGATAGATAGATAGATAGATAGATAGATAGATAGATAGATAGATAGATATAGATATAGATGATATAGATATAGATGATATAGATATAGATATATATTTAAAGGTAGCATTATAACTTGTAATACCATTGGGGCAGTGGTGGAATTCAAATATGTGAACAACCGGTTCTCTGTGTGGATTCCGCTTCCGGAAGACCATTCTGGGCCTGGGCAACAAAAAATTAGCTACCAGTTCTGCCGAAGTGGTGTGAACTGGCTGAATCCCACCACTGCACTGGGGCAAATAAATTAGTGTACACCTTATAATAGTTAAGTAACAGACCAGTTTTTTAACCATTATCTCTTTCTTGAAGAGATAAAGAGATGCACTCAATAGGCAGTTTGATGATAAGTAACTTAACTTAATTCTTTCTCGATCACACTTAATTCAGTATTATGCAATCAAGAATACAACTTTTTCTAAAAAGCTGATTTATTGAGTCAAATGCTCTATAATACAGTGTGGATATTCTTCATACTAGCTAGATTACAATTTTATTATAACTTGGATGGGAGACAAGCAGAAAATCCCAGGACTCTGATTTAGAGTAGGAAATTTAAAAAAAAAAAAATCTGGAAGAAAGGCAAAGAAAGTCAAGCTGAGTTTGAAAGATTCTTTACTTTAGAACAGAGGTCTCCAACCATTCTGGCTTTGCAGACTGGTGGGAGGAGGGAAGGGGATGGTTCCTCATGAGTAGTGGGTAGGCAAGTGTGTGCATGTAGCTCGTCTGTGCACTGAGTATTCAAATCTGTGCTTGCCCCCACCTCTGAGACCTGGTTCGGCAGTGGGCTATGGCCTGGGGGTTGGGGACCCTTTAGAAGGTATAATGTTGCAATAAAACAAATGTAATAATATTACACATTTACAGTAAAAGCATGCAGAGCATAGTTTGTGAAGCTTTTCCAACACTTTGATAAAATCTCTGCTTTGGGTCACCTGACCAAGGAGAAGACAGGAGGAAGGCTCAGAATGGACACATTGATTACTTTCTGAGCAGCTACCCAGCTGTAAGTAATATTTGAAGGACTTTTTCTTTGTGGTTCGCAGACAGCCCAGTCCCCTTTTACACTTGATCTTTCTTTTGCCAGTTTCTCTTCCATTTTATACAAATTTTCAGAGTGTTATCATACTGATGGACAGTCAGAGTCCCAACACTTTTTATGCAATTTCTTTCCAACATTCCATTGTGTTGGAAGAGTAAGAACTGTTTAAAAAAATGGACTCAGTCATCTGCAGCCGCAGATAACTTGAAAATAATTCTTTTTTCAGTTGGCTCTGTATCTGTGGGTGAAAAGTCATGTGAATTATTTTTTTCTTTGTTTCTTGGTGAAAAACAAAAGCAATGTGAATTTGTGATGAGAACATAAGTGCATTAAAATTCTGGAGAAATTTAGTTAG